ACAAATCACAAATCCTCAATGGTGGATACCTGATCCGAATAGTGACTTTGCTCAACTCATGATAATCAATACACAATCGCATACTATAGTCCTTCTCCACGAAGAGAACCGGTGCTCCCATAAAAAAAGACTCCGTAGAATTAAAACTCTGAGATAACATCTCATCTAGCTGTGTCTATAACCCCCTCATCTCAACGGGTGCCACACGATAGGGTGCTCGGAATATCGGTACGGTGCCTGCTACAACTCGATGCAGGGAAATAACCTCTATCAGTGGAGAAAAATAGGTATGTCTTGAATGACATCCTAATACTCTGAGACGACTCCGGTCTCGCTCAAAACTGCACCTCGATCCCGTATCATCACCTCCTCGACGTATGCCAGAAATGACTCCGCATTCTGGTTACCCTATAAAGTTGCTACTATCTATACAACCCCAACGAATTCTCACAAGCGTATTGTTTTAGCAAAACAGTCGATACTAATATTATAGGATGATAACTATTTCACACCAAGAATGATGTCAAAATTCGACACCCACAAAACCATCATGTCAAAGATGGACTCAAACTCATCTATATTGATGACACATCTCCTACATATACTCTCTAATAGGGACACCTCCCCTAGAGGAATAGAAACTGATAACAGAACATCTGGGGGATGAGTAACTAACTGAAACCTATACATGAAGGCATGAGATATAAAAGAATACGAAGTTCCTGAATCAAACAAGATTCGAGCTGGATAAGAAATTACTACGGAAACTCTGTTCACACTATGATCACGTGGCGCGACTACATAAACTCTGCTGGTGACCGGCGCCTGCTGCGCTGCTGGCGGTGAAACACATGGGTCCATCTGACACTGATGAATACTCTGAATAGCGTAATTATGGCCTATTGGCTCCTAAATCCTCGGAAACACCGGTAGTACATCTATCCTCCGATTCTGGCCGTAACTGCGGCCCTAAGACTATTAACTCTGACCTCTGTCATGCTGGTCTCCTGCTGGTGTACTGCGATAATCCTTCGCTCTATGTTTGATCTTGTTACAATTGTATCATGTATCCCGAATCCTGCGCTGCTACGTCGCTATCGAATCATGTTATGCTCTCTTCTTATAATGTTTTTGTTGCTGATGGTAAATATTCTTACCCCGCTGTTGTGTCCTCTAGATCCCACAATAGGCCTCTTGCCCTTGTCATTTCCATCATGCTGGTCTTGATTTTATTATTAACTATAGGTATATCTCACTGCTTTAGTCGAACTAGCTCTAACTGCTTGTCGAAGAAGTAAACAAAATTTTTCCCAAATAAGTGATATTCGCTACTCCTACGAAAATCCGAAGTCGTTACTATCCTTTGTCACCATTCTCCGATGATGATGAAATTAATGGTATTACCTCTTCAATAGGCATGACTGGTACAATTGGTGGTGCAACTCCAGAAAATGATACTGCTGACGAAAACGGATGTGCCTCTCGCTCCTCGAGTATTTCAAAATCTTACTGCAAATAGTGCTATAAGGTCGATCAGATACTGTGGAGCCTATTGTGGCTCAGGCTCTGCTTGCCTAGCTCTCCGGGTATGAGTTTTATCTCGACCGCATCCTCGTCCCAACATTTATAATATCAAGAGGAGAGTTTAATTGACACAGTAAATGACATCGCAAACATATATACATATATATATATATAACGTATCATAATAAGTACTCAAAGCATATAGTATTCACGCAAATACTTTAAATCAACATAAAATAAATGTCAAAAAAATATCAAAATTTTAAGATATACGCACATATCGTCCTCACTCATTCTAGAAATTCCTAGCGGACTCTATATATGAATCCTAGGAAACTCTATCCAAGCTCCAAAATTTGACACAGGAATGATCCTAAGGATACTGGAACTAGAGCTCTGATACCAACTGTGACGCCTCAGGGTTCACACAAGGCTGCAGTCCAAGGTGAAACCCGGATTGTCAAACCTGTCAAGCACCAAACACCATGCTACAATATGTTTTACCATCACAGTCACTATCTCTTTAGTGGAAACAACAAATAGGTGAAGGTACAAACAGGCAAATAATAAAAGTAGTACAAAATCAGATATGCACAGAAGAAGTATATCAACAAATAAGCCTAACTGAAATAGAATGAAGATATCTTTGAGTCAGAAATACATTTCAACACAATGAGTCAAATAAAATCTCACTAAGGCACTCAGCCTCTACAAAAATGAATACAACTCTAAAATCTGAACAATGAACATAACTATATAGTGGAGCTTCAACTACTAAAATTGTACGACGGCGACTATGCTAGAACTCTGTCATCATGCGATTCTCCGAAACTCTGATCTGCCTGAAAGATACAATTTAAACAAAAAAAACAACAAGAGTGTCAGAACGCTACAGCAAGATCACCTCCATCCGCCCCCAGGGAAAAGGGCTGCTAGATGGAGTGGAGGCTCTATCTATTAAGCATAGTCTACCTATATCATTTTTCCCGTATCTAATGGAGTTAATATTTAGACACCTACAAGACGAGACGTAGTACGTCGAGCAAAATAATCCAAACAAAAAAACCCCCATATATATACTATATGTCTCAAATTGTAGATCCATAAATACCAATTCCAACTCTATGAAAAAAACAACACTATATATACTATATGTCTCAAATTGTAGATCCATAAATACCAATTCCAACTCTATGAAAAAAACAACACTCAAAAGAAATACTCCAAGCCTCAACTATATAGAACCAATGTTACAATCTCGAACTACTTCTCAAGTAGTTGGCGCAATTATAAGAGAATATCGTTCAACTCAAAAATCATCATAGGCCATATCATGTATGTCCAAACCAAAGAATGTACCCTACTCATGGGTAATCTAACATGGGAGTAACTATAATTGATAATACATATATGTGTGCATCTTTTTATGCAATAGTGATACTCTTGTAATATTCTTACTCAATCGCTCTGTGGCAATAGGTTTTATCTCCATATCCCGGATACATGGAATGATGATACTTTTATAATTTCATACTCAATCGCCCTGCGAAAATAGGTTTTATTATGTCCTTATTCCGGATACATGTAATAACGATACTATTGTAATACTCTTACTCAATCGTTCTGCGGTAAATAGGTTTCATCTTCCTATTTCCGGATACGTATAGAACATCATTATTCATATGTGTTTATCAATTTAACTCGTGTCGAAAGTGTGTCAATCTAACACAATCTAGCATACATGCACCAATCTCGGTGTGCGTGTCCACATCTGAAGTTCACCATCATCCCAGGTATTAAACAACTCTTAATCATTATAATATAATAGTACAAGATCGAGAAACTCTCTCAAAAATAACAAACAAGAGCGAAACTCAAGAAACCTTTACGTAATATATCAATTTATTTCAAATCAGCACATCTGATTAAACATAAGCATGATTGCCAAACAACTTAGGAAAGATAATCATTCATTAAATCATATTTTAACACTTAGGTATCACAAACCTAGGGTTTTCTCATCTTTAATCCACATGCAAACTCAATTAAAAGTCAAATTAGGGTTTAGACATGATTAGCACATGATTAACAAGATAAAAATGAATTTAAAAGCAACCCTAATGATCATGATCATATTTCTATTATAAACAGCAAGAAAAACATGTAGATCTAACATTTGTTTAAGATCTAACAACAAAAATTTAATCTTTTGCCCATTAGATTAAGATCTAAGCATGTAAACACAAATTAAACTTCTAAGCTAGTTATTTAACTATGGGGATGGGTTTGGATGTAAGTGATCTTGCCTTAATCTCATGTGCAAGCCTTTGAAACAATCAGCAAGCAAACCACGAGCTTGAACAACCCGTTCTCCCTCGCTACACGTCAATGATTTCGCCCTCGTGCCGGTGTTTTGCTTCACAAAGCTCTCCAAACTCATAAGAAAAAGGTCTAGGGTTTTTGAGGGGAGAGGGTGGCTGCTAGGGTTCATAAATATGATAAAAAAAAATTCGTGAAAAACACAGGTATTTATAGAGGCAAATCCGAAACAAACCTGTTTGACCCGAACCAGAAAACCTAGTCTGACTAGGAAAATAATCTTCGGTATTTTGGCTGTAACTTTCTCATCCGACCTCAGAATGAGGTGATCTAAGATTTGTTGGAAAGCTGTTGAAGAGACCTACAACTTTTGTCTTTTATACTTTTCCAAATTCTGGCTATATCTGTGTGTAAAATATAAAAACTCTCAACTGGTCATTATTCCCAGATTTTTACTCTTTTGGCCTTTGTGCATGTTTTGTGCATTTGCACTCATATTTTCACAAATATACATTAATTTGATCTCAAATCAATTCTTATCATATTCAAACATTAAAATATGTTATTTTTTCACCATATAACATATTTATCATTATTTATCATAAAATATTTAAATTTACGGGGTTTTACAGGTTAGTTCAGTAACAAATTGTCAAATATCAGTTTCCTAAAAAACCACAACACTAACATAATTGACAAAATATTAAACCTTTAGCTCTAAAACTTTATGAACTAAGAAAAAAGCCCACCTAACACTAAAAGGGATCAATATAAGAAAAAAAATATCTAACTTATAGCTAGCATAATATCCTCAGCTAGTAACTAATATATAGAAGAAACCCATGAAATCAAATTATATCACACAAATCACCAAATCATGTGCAAAATAGCAACATAAAAGCTCATGTCATTACAAATTTCGGCATTTTAAAAACAAAATGAAGCATAAATCCGTAGAAACCACAGATTAACATCCCAGTTCATTTTATCAATACATCATCAATTCATTTCATGCAACTGCCAAATTTGCAAACATCACACACATAAAATAACTAAACCATAACTTCAGAAAAAATAACATAGGGTCTTTTCCAATAACATTTAACATAATAGCCACAGATCTTTTAGTACAGACTCAATGATATGGAAGAGTTTACCATACAGAGCTACGCTACATTTTAGTGTGGATGCGATATCAACAATATGCTTCTCATGTCAAAGGCAACGCAAAATCGTGCAGTGTCTTCCAACATGCAATATAAGCAAAACATTGTGCATAAGTACTCACTTAATGAACAATTATAACTAAGCAAAGAAGTATTCTGCAAATAAAATACAAGAACTTGAAAGCAGTGAGGTACAAGAAGATAATTTGCCAAATCTATGAAAAGAAAAAAAATGGAAGCACCAATTATTACAAGCTTAAAGTAAGACACTGCTATTCAATCAAAGGTAATAGAGGTTTTAGTGCACAAACATTTACCTAATCCCTATATAATCACTCAAAATAAGTAAGTCAGAGAATGAAGTTTGTGGTGTTAGCTACAGAGGATCAGTTTCACACAAGGCTGTTCGGAAACCTGACCGATATGTATGTTTATACCTGCTTATAACATAGATAGCAGGTAACCTGCCATTGTTGCTTTAATAAGGCAAAATAACATACCAACGGCATACACTTACTAAAAGAAACTATCTCCCCTTCTTATCCATGTCTTCTCGGTCCCAACTTCAGGTCAAGAAGACTTGCTTGGATTTCAGTATCCACGATAGAGTATTTTATCCATAACATTAAAACTTTCAGCCACTACAATGTAAAAGCTTAGAACTAAGTATGTATGTAATTACTAAAAAGCACCAAACTACCTAACTTCTTTTAGGATTTATACGTTAAAAGTGGCAGCCACTATAACATTGATTACTAGCAAAATATTAATCATCTCTTCCTCCTCTCTCGGCTCAAATTCTTCCCTTATATGATTATGTTGGACCCTCAATCTCTTTGACCTTTTTCCATTTTCCCTTAAAATGAAAAAATAACAATGATACTATTTTTAACCTAACATTCATACAAATATTTATAACTCAGGAACTAAAATTCAATGTTACCATTATACAAAATTTCCTAATTTGACAAGGAGTTGATAACGAAACAACAAAAACATTTACTTGATTTTTGATCCCAAAACTTGTAGTATCCCTATATACATGACCATACATCAAGTGATGGTTAACATGTACTTCATATCACTTCAAAATCTCATGTTTTACATGCATTCGTAAATTATGTGGTCGTCTGTAAGTGGTATAGTGGTAGTTAATATTGTGCAGATTTCTATCCGTTATTAATGAACAGCAAGTACATCTCACATTTTAAATTATCATTTGTGTATAGAGAATGTGTTAACAAATTCTAATGAAATAGTAAAAACTTATACTCTTATTGTTGCTTAAGTTTCATATCTTTGCACTTATTAATGTTCATCATTTCTTACTCTAGTCTGTTTCTTGTTTGATTAAATTTAATCATTAGTTTCATTAACAAGAGCTTTGTTCGTTCGTTTAGTTACTTTTCCTTAGTATGTCACTTGACAAACCTCCGCTCTTTTATTCACTAGTTAATAAAGCTTTCAATTTTCAAAATCAATGTAAGATGAAACTTTCAGTATCGATGTAATTCTGAAATCGGGTGGTTTTAGACAACAACTTTCAGATGATTCTGAAAGTTTTTCTCGTCCCCATAAAGTGATCAAGACCCCATATTTTGAATATTAAGCAATAAAGCAAATCAGAATAGGTAGAAATGAATCAGAAAATGATAGAAATTTTTCCTGAGAGAATGACTCGAAGAGTTAGGGTTCAACGGGATGACAGCCGATAAGGCAACAAAACTGAGCTCGGAAAATAAATTTGCAATCATCAAAATAACAAAACAAGAGATGAAACCCTAATGTTATCAATCGAAGTCGAACCAAGAGATGGAACCCTAGTCTCATAAATGCAAGTTCAATCAATGATATGCATTTTGATTACTTATTAGAGAGAAAATATCATTGAAAAGTGCGACATCGGGTAATTGCTGTATCCTAACATAAAGTTAAAAAATAAATCTAAATCCGCTAAATACGAAAATCACTGGGAATGTGATATCACACGATTAATGCAGAAAAATTAAAAAGGAAATTCAAAATAGAACTAATCCACCACATGCCAGAAACAATAAAAATATAAATAAATAAATGAATACCTAAGGCTTCAGAGGTCATCATCTTAAATTTGATTGGGGAAAAAAAGGACTAAATAAACGCATCGACAATATCACCTGAAGTTGGATCAAATCCGTAGAAAAAAAAACCGAAAAAATAAAAATAAAAAATTACCTGAAGTTGATCTGAGAGACTGTGGCGCTGTTGGGGTTTGATTTTGGGGATTTTAGTTGGATTAGCGGGTCGGGTCTGAGCTTGTGGGTCGGGTCTGGGTGTAAAAACATTCTTTCTTTTTATAGGTTATATTTATATTAGTCCCTAAATCTTCAATAATTCCATATTAGTCTCTCGCATCTATGAAATTACACATATTACACCCTCAAATCCTATTATTATTGCAATTTGGTCTCTCAATGACTGAAATACCACCATGTAATGTTTTTTAGGGTCATTTGCAATTCCGCACTCTAAAATTTACATATTTATAAACATTGGTACCACCAATTTTTTTAGACACGTTGATACCTCAAACTTTACGTTTTTTTTAACTTTGATAACCAATACTTCTTTATTCATACTTTGATATCCCAAAGCTTACATATTTTGTAATTTTTATACTGAAAAGATTTCGTTTTTTTTTTAACTTCGATACATCAATGTTTACACATTTTTAACTTTGATAGCCGAAATTTTTGGTACCAATGTGTTAAAAACAAACCTTTAGGGATATCAAATTGAAAAATGTATAAACTTAATTTGTGATAACCAAAGCCTTAGGATAAAACTTTAACACATCAACGTTAAAAAAAAGCTATAATCTTTAGGGAATCAAAGTGTTAAAAAAAACTTTGGGATATTAAAGTTAAAAGGGCGTAAACTTTATAGTAAAGTGGAAATAACCCTTTTCGAAGAAAATAGGTTTTACGAAAGAAATCATGACTAAGGTGTATTCTGGTCCTTGAGGGTCCACATTGCAAGACTCATTTAGGATTTGTGGGATTAATAAGTAATTATGAGATTTGAGGTACTAATGTGGAATGATTAAAAAGATGAGGGAGTAATATCTAAGCAACCCTTCTTTTTCTTTGTTTTAGAGCTCGTCTGCGCAGGGGTCAGGTGAACCGCCTAGAATGGCCGCTTAATCGCCCGTCTAGACTGCATTTTACGAGGTTGTTAGTAGAAGAATGTGAGCTGGGTAGGAGAGTCCTTTCATCTCTATTATTGAGTATTGAGATTAGCATAAATAAAGTGAGGATAATTGTAAGTATCAAAAAAAATTTGCAAAGAAGCACAAAATTTTATCTAGTGACTATGTCTATGCCTTGGTTGAGCTATGGTGCAAAGCAACCCTCCATAATTTGTTAAACATAAAAAATATAGAAGGGTTAAGCTAACCCCTCTAGAGGGATTAAAATGAGTTAACCCCTCAAAATGAGAGGTTTACTAATACTCCTATTTAGAAGGATTAAGAGTTAACCCTTCTAAATTATAAAAAAAATAGTCAAAATCATTGTTATTCCCAAACACTAAAACTGATCACAAGAACTAAAATAAAACTTATTTAACGGGTTAATAATTTAGCCCTTTATATTATCGAATGGGCTAAGTACATTAATTCTTCTTTTTAACCCCTCTTTCTTAACCCTTTGCCAAACGGAGCCTACACTATTATAAAAGTGTGATGTCATGTTAAAACATTTCTTTCCAAAGTGCCCTCAAATTTATGTTAAAGCACATACATACATAACATGTATACATAAAACATATAGATACATGCATAAATCATACCTCTTCAAATCCTTTTCATAATCAAATTATATTAAATGTAATAAATACTCCTCAGAATTTCATTCACTCCCACTACTCAATTAAACCCCCATTTTCTGCTATTAAGATTGTCATTCCATTATGTATTGCAATTGTTTTATTAAATATTAATTGCAATTGATAAGTCATCAGTTATAATTGCTTTTTTTCCTCCACACCTCACTTCAAAAACCGCAGCACTTCATCTCCCCACTAAGCAAAAACCACTTCCATTCTCCTTCCCTAATAACTATTGTTCTTAGAATTCCCTTCGACTACGTATTCTCATTTTCTCTCTGTTTTTTTAGGCTCCACCGAAACAAAAAGGCCTCCTTTCTATTCATCGCCCCTGAAATCGACGTATTCTCATTCTTTATATTTTTTTGGACCTATGAAAGATGCAATAATCTTTTATTTATTTTTATTTAATTTTTTAAGACTAAGAAATAGTGAGAATTGTTTAAAAAATATAAACGAAACATACACCTGATCGATAACATGCGCATTAGTATAACACATACCTAGATTAATATAACATATGCATAAATAATTTTTTTTAGTTATTATCATTAATGTTTATTTTTATCTTATTAAAAATCTATGTTGTTATAAGGGCATTATTAGAAAATGAGATTCCATTCTCACTTGTGAACTAGTGATACCAAACATGGGAATGAGAATTAGATTTTCATTCTAGCTTCATTCTACAAACGCATCCAAACAAGAGAATGGGAATGACCATTCCATTCTCACATACATTCCATTCCATTCCTTCTTCCATTCCATTCTCACTTGACTTCATTCCCACATACCAAACGAGGCGTAAGAGTAATTGGTGGTTTACTTAAAGTTGTCACTATACTTAGAGAGAAACCTAAAGCTGCTATGTGACAGTTAGTTGAGATTTTGTGATAATTACTCTGATTATTTCCAATTAGTTTGTAATTCTAATTTATGGGGGGGCACCCAACCTCACCTATTATCCGAATAAATAATCAAAAAAAGTTGAATTCGAGACATTACCAAATTATTTCTGCAGCCATGACATAGTGACAAGCACACTCATTAAATGAGTCCAACAAGGTTGTAACTTACCTGTTAATACTCTTGACTATATACGAAAGTTCGCTCACCTCTATTCAAAATTTCAAATCATGAAGATATTCAAAATCTAGATGCAAGTATAGGTAACAAATTAAATAAAAAAATGTATCTAGTAAATTTGACCTGACCTGAAAATCTAAATTGAGGAGCCAATGAAAACCAGAAAATTCTTATAAGAGTATAGATTACAATTAAATGTGAAGGAATAAGTTACTCAGTTTAGTATATTTGTATTTGTAGTTTACTTATTATCTCGTATTTCGTACTATATATAGCGGTACTGCGTGATCTTTCTCTCAATAGATTCCTTAAAATATACATACCTTTTCCCCCAATAACTTAAATAAACACAAGTTCCATGAAAATTAATCTCTATTCCTAGGCTACATAGTGGATGACCTGCTGAGATATATACTAAGGAAATAACAAGCCTCTCTATGCATTATTAACACAGTCCACAAACATAGGGATCCCTTTGATCTCTCTCACTTTTTTGCTGTTCTCCTCTTTAATGAAAGAGAGTTGATTGGTGACTAGAGAAGCAAAAGATAATGTTGCTAGCTTTATAATCCCTAAAAAGATTGCCTTCTCTTTGTTAAACTTTCAGCCCCACTCCACAGTAGCAATCTTGTGTATCGTTTGATGGCCATATTTGGAGAAGGCAAGGTGTTTGTTGATTATTGGAATTATTTCATGACAATGATGTAAGCATCAATCAGCAAATGTTGCATTTTCAGATGAATGTTTTCTGTATTTGTCACAAAACTAGCATGATATATAAAATAAAGAGCAAAACCTCTCTTGATGCCCAAGTTAAAACGACATGCATTACAAGTTAAAACAGCTAGTAGGTTCTTACCTTCATCTACCGCATCATAGTATGAGAGATTCATACTAGGTAATTGCAGTGAATTTTCTAAGTGCTACTAGGTAAGTTAGAGAAACTAAGTCCCCAGGTCCACTACAGAAGAAAAAGACATCATTTATACCACTTATTATCAGAGGGGGGGGGTGCAGACCACAGATACATGCAACTTCTCATGACGAGTAGAACAAGTGGGCTTGGAAAATAAATGTAACCTTGATGTTCATGTATTGGGGGGAGGGGATGCAGACCACAGATACATGCAACTTCTCATGACCAGCAGAACAAGTGAGCTTGGAGACCACAGATACATGCAACTTTATACTTAAAAAATATTTCAACTACTGCTGACCTGCAGTTTGTATTTGACCAAGTAGGCATATTCACAGAGAAATTAGAAGAAACAAGCTATGAGAGGATACATTATGGAAAGTGAAAAATCTTGTTTCGAGTAGAAGTTTCTGAATCCCATGAGATACAATAACACATATGTTTAATTAAATTTTCTATATATGCCCAAATGATTAACATTTACAGTACTGCAACATGTGATTAACTTTTCTTAATCCCATCTGCTGAATATGATCATCCAATCAATGATATGCATTTGATTACTTATTAGAGAGAATATATCATAGAAAAGTGCGACATAGAGTAATTGCTGTATCCTAACATGAAGTTCAAAAATAAATCTAAATCCGCTAAATACGAAAATCACTGGGAATGTGATATCACACGATTAATGCAGAAAAATTAAAAAGGAAATTCAAAATAGAACTAATCCACCACATGCCAGAAACAATAAAAATATAAATAAATAAATGAATACCTAAGGCTTCAGAGGTCATCATCTTAAATTTGATTGGGGAAAAAAAGGACTAAATAAACGCATCGACAATATCACCTGAAGTTGGATCAAATCCGTAGAAAAAAAAACCGAAAAAATAAAAATAAAAAATTACCTGAAGTTGATCTGAGAGACTGTGGCGCTGTTGGGGTTTGATTTTGGGGATTTTAGTTGGATTAGCGGGTCGGGTCTGAGCTTGTGGGTCGGGTCTGGGTGTAAAAACATTCTTTCTTTTTATAGGTTATATTTATATTAGTCCCTAAATCTTCAATAATTCCATATTAGTCTCTCGCATCTATGAAATTACACATATTACACCCTCAAATCCTATTATTA